ATTCCATCTGCACAAAATAGTTCAAAAGGTAACAAGTCAAAATGTATTCAAAACATTCTTACAGCTATGGAAAACTGTAGGCACAAATGCTTTAAAATGTATCTTTTCAAGTTGTGAAAAGCTGCAGGTGTGATTGCCATAAGCTTTTAGCTATAAAAGTTACATACAAGAACTTAAGTCATATTTGAATAAAACACTATAGGAGTTTATAGCCTTAAAGGCACAAATAAAAGCATGGAGTAGATTTTTCAAAAGACCAGAGTTCTTATCAAATAAAATACATTGAAAAAAAATGACTTTCTTAGCCTCTGTGGACACACACAAAATAATTTTAATGCTCCCTCAGCCAAACCAGTTTAAATCTATGCAGGAAAATCCATGGTGATTGTTTTTGTTGGTATCTGCTGTGTATGGTGTAGTGTGAAGTGTTGTGATGTGTGTCTCCTATATTTATAGTTCTTTCAATTGTTTTCGTTTCCCTTCAAACTATAAACAATCATTCCTCCAGGGGCCTGGAGAACCAGGGGCCTCATGCCTCAAGGAAAAAAAAAGGTAATTCTGTTGTTGTTGCACCTTCTGTAACAAAATCTTGCAAGCCACTCCTATGATGATAATGTAATTGTTTTGCAGAGCCCTGAAGAGTAAACATCTGTAGTGTAAATCAATTGTTGTACCATTGTCCTGGACACCACTATCCTGGAAAACTAAAATATTGTAGTTATAGAGAGTGCGAGCTATAGGACCTGGAAACACCACCTCCATATTATTTATTTATTTATTTTGCACTGGCTTTAGTAAACCATTGTTCAAACCTCAATTTCAGAAGCACTTTCATTTTCAGGGCTACATTTTCTGCACCCTTCTCAATTATTTCAACATTCTGCACACACAAAAATTCACATCTTAACATCTGGACGGATTCGAATCAGCCTTTGCGTCAAGTGGTCAGTAAAAACACTTCGAATTCACCTGTTTTATAAGCAGAACAAGTCCTGCAGTATTTGACCATGTAGTCCCAGCCTTAGTTTGTGACTAAGCAGAGAGAAAGTTGAAAATAGATATTGCAGATCTTTTTTTGTAAATAAGAGGAAGTGGACTATGTGGATAGAAACAATCTCATCAAGGTCCGGTATGCTCCTCTTGAGAGGATGCTGGCAGTACTCAGTGAGTGCAGGGATAAATCTTCTGCGCCTACACTATAGACAGGAATAGTTGTCCTTTAGTTCTGTGTACTTTCTTACCTTAAAAAAAGCAAAAACGGTGCATTCTGATTGATTAGACTTTGTCTTAGAAATTGCTTCATTCTAGAAAAGAAGATATTCTGTGGACTACCCCCATTTCCCCAAGGGTGTGTTTTTTCTTGGCAAGGTTGAAAGAAAGGAAGAGATGCCCTCCTGTATTTTTCTGATTACTTTTCCATTGGGCCTTCACATCTTTATGCAGAATCAGATTCAAATATGTTCTGCCTTGTATATTTGTAAACATAATAAATATTACAAAGACACAGTAAGTCTCCTGTGTGCTCTCATCCAAAGAAAACAACTCTGCCATGCTATTCTTGGACTTCTCACCAGCCTGAGTTGGTGGGGGAGAGCTTAACAATATAAATGTTATGCCTTGGAAGAAAATGCTTTTGCTGACGGCAGCCTTTTCTGTTTCCTACTGTGTCATTCCACCGGCTTTCCAAAGCTGAGCAAGTAACTTCTTTCTGCCTTTGAAAAGAAATCTTTGGTATCACACAGCAGTTATTTGATGCTAAATAATTCTGCTGATGGTGTTTCAAAGAGAGCTGGCTTCAGCAACAGGAATTTCTGTCAGACTGTATTCCTCATTTCAAAAGATTAGCAGACAAGAGAAATCGCTGCTTAAGTCATCTTTTAAAATTTGCTCTTCCCCCCCAATAATCAGTCCGTAGATAATTTCTTTGTAAAATCTTAATAAATGAATGTACCAATACTATTTATATTTTTTTAAAAAGTGAACATTCTGGGCATGCTGATATATTTGCCCGTAGAAGTTTTCCCCTTGCCCTTTCAAGAAAGGTTTAAGAAGGATGTGGAGACAGATTTCTTCAAACTGTTATTTTTAAAAAAATGTTTTTATTGTTTGCAGGTTATTGTGATGAGTTGAAGGTTTTATTTATTGTGATGATTTTAATGGTTGTGTTGTTTAACACATGTTCAGTTTGTTTTGAAGAACGTTTGATGGCTTCCTTGAATGCCCCTTTTTAGTGCAAAGGCAGATTTAAAAGGGGATATTAACGAAAAATTCAAACAAACAGCATGTGAACTGCGTGCCTTTCCATCAGGCTACTGTGCGAAGCAACCAACATGAACCTGACACAACTCCGGGAGGCTGTGCCTTTCCATCAAGCTACTGCCTCGTTCCATAGGAAACTCTAGGACGTTTCTTATAGACAGGTTTCTCTCCACATGAGTTCTGAGATGGTTCACCAACTTGGCTATCTCAGAAGGGGAAGGCTCTTTATCTTTGTCATAACAACTGTATAACTAGAAGCCTTTAGAGACAGCGAGTTTAAATAACAGAACAATTTTTTAAAAAGCTCCTGTTATTTTCAACCCTTTGATGAATATAGCTGTATTGTTGAAGTCCACTGATAGGAAATGTTTTGTGTCATAAGACTCCTTGGAAACTGCAGTCTTGAAAGGCTGCTTCAAAAAAATAAAATAAATAATAAACACTGCTTGCATCTTATCTCTGAGCCAGTTGGGAGGCTGTTTATTATCATATGGTGGGGCTTTCTTTTAAGCTTGTGAGGGGCAGGATGAGGAAGAGTTTCCAGTGAGGGAGGAGGGGGAAAAAAACACCCTGATTTCTAAATGGAGACCTACAGGAAAGGAAGTGTAAAATTTTCTCTGTATAATTTTTAAACCAGAGGAGAAAAGAATGAGGAAGACAAACACTAAGGTTCTGTAAATTCGTATTTGCACAAGTGTGAAAGGCTTTGCTCGTGAATGGTTGTCTGTATTTGTGGCTATAATTAAGGCTTGATAACCTTTTAGAGCAGGATGGGTGACCTCTGTGGGGCGGGAGACCATTTTTTCACATTTTCTGGTCGACCAGGGCCTACAGTCCCAAGGAGGAGGAGCCAAAGGACTAATGAGACCAATTTGTATATTTAATTTTTACAGTTGTTATTATTTGTTTTGGGTTGCTGGTGTTTTTTTAACTAAAAATTAGTTTAGTTTTTTTGAAATTTTTAAAAATGAATGAGCCCCTTTGTGTGCCCTCCAAGGGTCAAAGAAGAACATTTAATTTGCCTCCAGACGCCACTTGCAAACCATGGAATTCATTTTTTTTGCCCACTCTCAGTTTGCATGAGAACTGTGTTCTGCATAGGCGCAAAGCTTGGAAGTAACAAGTTGTATGTTGTGTAGTTACATGTAAAAGGCTACTTTTGGGGATACAAAGGTTTTCAAGGAATTGCTTTTCAAAACTTAATGTAACAGTCAGAATTAGAATTAATAGTGTAATGGGTAATATTTTACAGTTACGTTGAAAAGTTACTTCTAAGAGGAATGTTAAGGCATTTTAGTGACATTTTTATGAGAACTTCCATTCCTCCGTTCCCATTTTGTTTTTAAAAGTAATTTTATGTAATAGCAAAGTAACAAGCAACAGAAAAAGTATGTGGAAAGTTACTTTTCCACCACTAAAGTGAGGAATGGCATTGTAAACAGTGTATAGAGTAACAAGAACAAATTAATTTTCAAACGATACTTTCAAAGCTCTGTTTTTAGCGTGCATTAAATAACCCAGTGGTTTTCATCTGTTTCTGTTCTCCAGAGAAAAATAGCTATCGGAGGGCTAGGTTCCTTGGAACAAATTAGCCACGATTGCTAGTTGTTGGCAACAGCAAGACTGTTGGTGGCATTCTTGCTTTTCTGAAGTACATGTGTGCTGTAACTGGAAAAACAGTGCTTTCGTTGGGGAATGACAGCTGAATTTCTGCAGGCCTTGTGGTTTGTTTTGTGATCTGAGCCATAAAATGTGATTGTGGCGAAAGTGGCCACATCAAACCATTTGGATGGAAAAGGCCACTTTCAGGGTGCTCCCTGTTGTCTCTCATTGACTGGCTTGCTATGTGGGCTTGGGATAAGAGGAAAGAAGGCTTTCTGATGGCTGGTATTTGAAGTGTTCCAGCATTGGAGACACCTGGAAATCTAATTGCAATTGTAAGATTAGCATTCAGAGAACAAAAGCAATTAGTATGTTTAAAGGACATAATTTAAAGCAGATTAATTTATATAAAGAGGCATGTTGTGGATTGGGTGTTTCCTTCTCTCTCTCTGTGCTTGAAGCAAAGAATTATTGGTTATATAACTGCTAAAATAAATAAATCACTCATGTCTATAAGTAATAATTAGTTCCCATGACTACTTCTTGGGCTAATGATTCAGCCCAAGTGGCTCTTTTTCTCTTTCATCCCTATTTAGTATGAGCTAAAGTAGTCACTGGAATTTTTTACCTCCTGCCTGTAACCTGGTTTAACTACTGCAGAACCTTTAAAAATCCAATGTGTACTGTCCATCTTTGTGGGAATGGCCCTTTCCACTTTCTTAGCCAGGGATGGCCTGCACCATCTTCTTTTCTTTGCTCCATTTGGAAAAAAAAGCATTATAAAGTTTGAGAGTGGTTCTCGGCCTTCAGAACTTACCTGACACATTCCACACGGACTACACTTCTAAAACTGTCTTCACACCGCCTGCAGTTTCGGTTTGGAGAAAAAGTGTTTGTTGTTTGTGTTAATAATTATTGTCATTGTCAAGCATTTGTACTTGTAGTAACAGCAGTAGTAAAATGTCTCAAGACATTCCCTTCCCTGAGTATCAGAGATCTAAAAATATGCTTTTGATTTATGGTGGCACACTTCCTTCCTTTTCTGGATATTCTGCCCAGGCAATGGAGATCTCAAGGTATTGCTGTGATACTGATATTGCAAACCCTTAAATGCTTTTCTCTCCCTTTTCCCCCCCCAGGTCTATAACTCCAACAAAGACAACCAAAGTGAAGGCAGTAAGTGACTTTTTTTTTAATTGGTTGGACTAAGACTGTGGGTTCCTGAGGAAACAGTGGGTAGAACTCTGCATCCCTGGCTCTCATAAAGCCAGTAGGTGGTGCTGCTAGTAATGCACTTTTACTTCAGCCAGTAAACAACCTGGCTCCAGGCTATGTCCATTACCTAGGTAGATACTGTACTTTAAAGATTTGAGCAATGAGCAGTTTCCACAGTGATACCAAATCGGCTGGTGAAAGACAGCCGTTGTTTTGTGTCTGCTCATGCTGCAGGATCCTTGAATTCTATACAAAAGGTTTTATGGTTTAAGATGCTGGAGGTTCTGCAAGTGAGCATTTTGGATGCAACCCAGGAGGTGCAGAGGGCTGAAACTGGCTGTGTTGCAAATTCTTTGTTTCCTTTGGCAAGTTACTTAACGGCCTTTTGTCTCAGTTTACACAACCCAGGCACAGCCGTTTACAGAAGGGGGAGCAAGGAGGAGAACTAAGGTTTTTCTGAATCTCAGTTCCTTGTTTAACCTTCCTTAGATGATGATTAATAAGGATGATGTATTTTGCACTCAAAAGAGTGTGTCAAAGCCTTGAGATTGCCTCTGGACTGTCATCAAACTGATGAACCCTTGGGATGAATGGTTTTTTGTATGTGAAGTAGCACAATTACATATTTTCCTCCTTTGATCTCAACTGTTCAATAAAGCATAGTGCTTGGGATGCTTTTGATGGATGACCTGAACCTCTTCCCTCTGCTCTTTAAAATCCTGTCTGTTTCTAAGAAGCTGATCACCTTGCAAATATTTGTGTGGCTCAGGTTCCTACACCCCCACCCCACTTGAGGCTGTGCAGTGGTGGTGGAACTGTTGTTTATCCAGCATTAGGGATGCAATGTTTTTGTGGGTTTGCTTTCTTTGTGCACCTGTCTTCCGTTTTAGAATGTGGATGAATGGCCCTTTAAAAAGAAGATGTAAGGGCAGAAATATTGGGAATGACTCTCAAGAAGGGGAGTCCTGTTTCCTTCCCCTCCCTTCGAGGCAGGGTTCACTCAGTCAAAAACCGCATGAGATCATCACCCCTTTTCTAACTAAGGGATTCCTGCAGCCGGTGTGTCTTTATAAATAGAACGTTGTCCCTCATAAATTTGAGAAGCAGCACAAACTCCTTCAGCTGTTAAGTCACTCTGGCTGACAGAACACTACACATTAGCTCAGCTTTCTTTCCAATCGACTATTGAGAAGTGGGACATAATTTTAAACCCACACTTTCCTCCCTGAGAGCCCCTCTCTCCTCCTCAGGACAAGATTTAAATACCTGTCATCTCTTCTACAGAACCACAGACTCATACAGGATGGTGGCATTAGAAGCAATTACATTTTGACAGAATGTAAGACCCTGTCAACTTAGCCTTTCCCCCTTAACTGTAAACCTACCCACCCACCCCGTGTTTGGGCTCCAGCAGCGCGTACATGTTTGTATCTAGTGACCCACAACTGGCTTTGTATGGGCTAGTTGGTGGTGTAATTTCTCTGTCAGATGTATGTCTGGAGCACTTCCAGAAGCTTCAGGAGGACCGGTCGGTAACCTTCAACTTGCTAAAGCACATTAAAGCATGTATTCATCATCATCTTGGAACTGCAGAGCCAGAAGTGACCCTTTAGATTATCAAGTCCAGCCCCTGTCAAGGAGACACAGCAAGGAACTGAACTCCCAACCTCTGGCTCTAAAGCCAGGTACCTAAACCACTGAGTTGTCCAGCAGTTCTGAATGTACACACACAGATATGCACACAGTCAAATGCAGTGTGTCCTTGTCATTGGGAAATAAAGCATTTACTGTTGAGCTAAGCAATACAATGCACATATCTCATCATAACAGTTTCTCAATGAGAGCCCTACTATTCAGGAAATAGTAACTTGTTGGGTGGGCTTTCCCAATTTTGATCTTTCTGACAATCACATTTTCAGTGATGTGAAAATATCAGATAGTGCAAAATGTTCTGAAACACAGTCTCTAGAGAGACAAAGAAGGAATACATGATGCTGTACAAAAACAACAGTAGAATCTCAGTCTGCTTAGATTTCACAGCATCATTCTAGATTGTCACATACCCTAAGCTGTTTCCAAATCATTATAAAGTGGCAAATTAATATTCTTTTTTTTTAAAAAACTATGTGACAGAAAATATAAATGAGAAATGACTGATTTAATTAGAGATTTCAGTGTTAAGTAAGTTGCATTGCACCATAAGTAGTAAAAAGAGATGCTTGCAGAATGCTGATTAATGTAGCTTGATGAAAAATAGATCAGCTAAGCATCCTTGCCATTATTAATTTGTACATTGCCACTGTTAATGTCAACAATTTTTCTTTCTGCTTCAGTAGTGCCAGAAAGTAGACTGCTCATCCATTTCCGATGAGTACAACAAAGTTACTCGTTTATTGAGTTGGCTGCCCTACTGACTTTAAGCATCCAAAATATTATGCAAAACAAGCGCATCAGCCTTAAGAAAGTTGATTGCTGTAAGTTGTTTGTATACTAGGTGCTGTAATAAACCTAGATAGTGGGCAGGTTAATCCTAAACCCAGATGTATCTTGCTACAGGGGATTAGGATCCAGAGATGATCCCCTCTAGCCGCAGGGGCTCCTCCTCTGTTTGAGGACTGCATGACTGTAAGGATACCACTGCCTGCAGCTGACAGCTTTAACACATAGGATTGTACAGAGTGGAGTGGAGATGGTTGAAAGGTCCACTATAGCTTTATCTGATGAAGTTAGCTTTCTTTCTCTTTCCTGCAGAAACTGAGAACAGACTAGGAAGAGGGCAAATGTGGAAAACCTCAACACCAGGATGTAGACTGGTTGTGTCTGTGTCTGTGTGTGAGTGAGTGAGTGAGAGAGAGAGAGAGAGAGAAGGAAACTTCTATACTGCAACATTTTTTTCAGCTCTCCTAAATGTTCAGATCAGTGTTGTCTATTTCTTCATAGCACAGTCAGGTTTACAATTATCACAAGATCTGTTCTGTCCCAGTTCTTTCAAGGAATCTAAATACAGTCGTAGCCAAAAATATTGGCATCCTTGCAATTCTGTCAGAAAATGCAACCCTTCTCTCAGAAAATTGTTGCAGTTGCAAATGTTTTGGTACTCACATGTTCGTTTCTTTGGTTTGCGTTGGAACAACACACACACACTGCCAATAATTTTGGCCAGGGCATTTTTGGGTTTCTGTGTGGGGTTGTATCAGATTTGACTTTTCTTCTCTGTTTGTTTGTGTTGTTCCAACGCAAATGAAAGAAATGAACATGTAAGTACCAAAACATTTGCAACTGCAGGGATTCTGAGAGAAGGGTTGCATTTTCTGACAGAATTGCAAGGGTGCCAATATTTTTGGCCATGACTGTAGATAGGTGATGAACATATGAAAAACATGCTATGAGTCCTCTCTAGAAAATTTGGACCTCCCGCTGCAAATGTGTGCTTCGTGCAGAATGATAGTTGCTGTGCATTGAAGATGGGGGAAATGTGTGGCTTTCCAGATGTTGTTGTGTGCTGTCATGTTGCTTTACACTAAAGGTAGTGCTATGAATTGAGAATTTCCAAGAGGGCCTTTCATTGAGAGCCCTGCTCAGGTGTGCCAAACTAAGGATGGCGGCTTCCCTATTCATTCATTCATTCATTCATTCCTTCATTCATTCATTCCTTCATTCATTCATTCCTTCATTCATTCATTCCTTCATTCATTCATTCCTTCATTCATTCATTCCTTCATTCATTCATTCCTTCATTCATTCATTCATTTATTTATTTATTTATATTATACCACTCTGGGCGGCTAACAACAAACATGTGTATAATTAAAATAGTGTAAATCCATGAACAACATTAGTAACAGAACATTCCAAAAGATAATAAATGATAGATAGACAAGAGAAAGAAAGATAAATTAGATGCTGGCAAGAAGGAAGGCCTGGATGTAAACCCATGTTTTTAGTTGGGTTTTAAATGTACCCAGCGTAGGGGCTGCGCGAATCTCAGGAGGGAGATTGTTCCAAAGGCGAGGAGCCACCGCCGAGAAGGCCCGGCTTCGAGTCTTTTCCCTCTGGGCCTCCCTCGGTGTCAGGCTCCTCAGCCTCACCTCCTGGCTCGCGCGGGTGGTCCGGGTAGATCTTGGTGGGAGCAGGCGTTCCGCCAAGTATCGAGGTCCCAAACCGTTACTACTGAATTAGTCTTGCTGAGTAGGGCTGATAGGAGTTGGGGGTCTGACCACTTCTGAACAGCCACATTTCCTCCTTTTCTGCTGGCCATAGTAGGAACAGCAAAGGATCAGACAGTCCAACAAGATCTGGAATGTGCTCACCCTGCTTTATCTTGTATTCAGAGGCAATTCTTTTGAGAACACACCAAAGCCTTTGGACCTTATGAGGTCTGTTTTCCCATTTAAAGAGAACAGTGTGGTGGATTGCAAGGTACTCTTGAAGTCCAGCCTTTATATATTCTGTTGAAGCTGATCCTTTATTTATGCTTTGTAGGTTTTTTTTAATTGTATCTGTGCCTGTTTTATTACTACTTTATGGATTGTCTGTATTAGTTTTCAAGTGGAATGATTTAGAAGCCTCTGTTGGTTGGAAAACATGGTATAGCTAAAACGTTTTAACTTGACATTTTAAAATAAATAAAATCTGTTTTTGCAGTCAATTTTAGAAGTAGAAATAGATAAACTGTGGCTGTAAATCAGATGCTTAGCATAGTATGTGTAAGCCCACTAAATCAGTGGGGGTTTGCTGAGCCAACTCCTCTCTAAATTCCATTAATTCAAAATGGCCTACTCTAGTTGCAAAGTCCTATGGGAAACAGAAGGCTTTCAGCCTATATATAATCTTCAGGCAAACAAAGGAAACTATTTTAGTTTTTAAAACAAAATGTAAGGGCTCATTTCCATTACACTTTTTATACTAGGGTACATGGCATAGCAGGGCATGAATACAGAAATATACAAGTAGTTGGAAAA